TTGATAAATTCTATATTTTAATTCGGAATATAAATATTTGAATTGAAATATAGGAATAGTTTTTACTCGACACTCGAGAGAGGGAGTAAAATTACGTTAGTGTTCTTGCTTATAAACTTTGGAAAATTGATTAAAAATAATTATATAATTGAGAATCATATTTGATAGTTAGGTGAAATCATAACCCTAGGCTTTTTCACTTTATTATTCTTCTAACTTGCATTTATTTGTTGAATTCGTCGTCATATTGGTTTAAAAACACTGATTATAACATTCTCATCTAGATAAAATGGAGGCTATATAATTATAATACTTAGTAGAAATTTGAATTACAATCTCTGTGGGTTCGACACTCAAACTCCATTCTTATATTACAAAACTTGACACCGTACACTTGTGGTATAAATCATGTTATAGAAAACGCGTGACAAAGTGAACCCAATAGAGATATGCGTCTTACAAGTCATTTATTAGATAGAATAGAAATTTAACCAAGACCAAGGATTTACTTGGCAAAAAATAATGTTCCATCAACGCATAGTAAGAGCTAAGTATCGAGGAGAACAATGGCACAATAAAGTAAGTGATCATTGATCATCAAAAAAGAAATGGAAAGTGGCATAAAATAAGGCCTGCCTTAAAAGGAATATTCTGCAAAGACAAATACAAAGTCATATACTTTAGATACCATACAAAATAGGAAATTACTATTAGAAATCCAAACCAAATGTTTTGTGTTCAACCACTCATTTAAAGATAAAATTAGTTACTCTATAAAATGCTGAGAAACCAGGTCATATTTTGGAAGCCTTTTATTACTATAAACAAACTTGTATATACTATATTTGAGAAATTATCTGTAGATAAGTTTTAGGACAACATCAACCCATTTTTTCATCCCTCTTAGCAAAACCATATAAAAGGTGCTCAGGCCTAAAGAAAAAATGAAGTGGAAGAACAAACACCTACTGCGTGCATGACATAAATTTAAGAAATAGTAACATTTTGCATAGTCTCGTGTTGTAAGATTTCATATTTTTCACTCTACTTTGTGCAACACTTTCTCCTGTTGGACTTGAGACTTAATGCACATTTTAATCAACAGTCCAATTCAAATATTATGATATTAATAGATCGATCTTTTGTAATGTTCAACACTTCAACTGTTTGTCAAGGTCGGAGAATTGAAAACTTCCAACTCCCACACGAGAAGGAAAAGTTTTATATGGGGTATAGTTGAACGGGAGTAAATGTAATTCACTCTAAATACATATAAACAGGAAAAAAATCCACTCTCTCATGCGAAGTCTATCTAAAACGGTATAACACTGTTCATATGAACAGTCTAGCTAAGAGTTTCATCGATGGTTCCTCCTCATCCCTATTCTCTACGAACTCCACAGAAATTCGCTCAATCCTGCAATCAGAACATAACACATCTAGGATTGCAGATGGACCAAGCCATTCAAGAATAGCTCACGTGGATTATATAGACCTTCTTTTTGTTAATGTTTTTTTCTCAAAATAGTAAAAGAAAAATACTGAGACTGAGCATTATTTTATATTCAGTCTAATTTTAGAAGTTATTACCTCTTGGTAATATGATGATTTTAGTTGCTAATGACTCATAGATAATTGTAACCATGAGCCCCAATTTGCTTATTTAAGAACATGAGGTTTAAGTTTATATTTACTCACTACAAAGACCAAGGTATTAAAGCTCATGCGCAGATTGTGAAGCCAGACATGAGCACACACTTTATCTCATCACTAATCGAAGCAGAGCTTGAATATCCTTCCTGAACAACGGCGGAGGGAGGTGATCATTGGCCCCCACTGAAATTTGAGGATTTTTTATATGACTTTTTGTATTTTTGTTTTCTCACTTTTTATTTTTAATATCATATTATGTTTGAAAAACAATGTAGTTTAATTAGGATCTCTCAGAATCCGAGTCCTTGTCATCCCACTTTTCCTGAATAAAGCAGATCCCGACAAAGCATAAACTTATCTCAGCTCGATTCATTTGCAGGACAACGTATAAAGTAAAAATCTAATTGAGTTCTGGCAGAGTGGAGGCAGCCCTACAATGTTATTTACTATGCTGTTTCCATCGGTTCTTTACCTTAAAGCAGAAAACACCACATTCTAGACTCTTGTTAGACTTGCATAAAGCAGTATCAGAAAAACCAATAATTTTGCACAAAATGCACAAAGCAATACATCACACACTAAATCACACATCATTGTGTGAGAAAATCATCTTTTTCCTAAGGTAAATTCACAAAGACCAGTTCGACATACTAAATGTTGCAGCACACATCAATTGCAAAACAATCTGAAACCAATGCAGCTAAATCTCAATCCAACATATAATACTACATCTGAATCACTTTTAATGTTACCAAAATCCATTTAATTAAGCCACTGTTAAGCAATAACACATTTTTCCCCAAATACATTTTCAACCATACATTTTATGGACCCACAACTTTTATAACTTTTCAACCAGACATTTCATCAACTTTTTTCAAAATCTACTAAAAAATCTGATTTTTAGCCTAACCAACTGTGAGCTAAATAAATCGTATTCTTGCAGAAAACACGCAAATGATTTTTACTTGCACTTTCCAAATCAATTTGACAACCAATATCCTATAAAACCTAAATTTGCGTAAATATAGTTGTAACTTATACCCGCCCACAGATCTATGCATGGCGTTGCTGAACATTGATGTCATGGTTGAGAAGAAACCTCCCTTGCTTTGGTTCTTCTCCGGACTCCCCATCTTCTCTGCTATAATTGAAATGCCTTAATCTAATTAAAAAAAATAACAACGAATTATCAACTCAAGAATAGGAATCAGAGGCATGCAATATTGTAGTTAAACCTAGAATTTGATCGATGAATCGATGGATTGAGCTCTTTCTTGTGAGGGAGAGACCGATTGCTGAAATGATGATTAATAGTAATTGGGGTATTGACAAACATAATTAGTGATGTATAATTACTGAACACTACAGCGAGGAATTGAGATGGAATTTGTTGGCGGTTCTTCCTTTTGAACTTTGAGATTTGTATGTTTTTTAAAAATGACTTTTTTCTTAAAAGAAAGTGACCAGCTGGAGATACAACTGAAAAATAAAGTTACCGTTATTTAATTTTTATATATTCATCCCTATAAAAATATTAAAATTTTAAAAAAATTACTATTTTTATTCACATCAAATTTCATTCCACGCAAATTTTATATATTGATCTCATTTTAAATGCATCCCTAATACAATTTTAAAATTTTGAAAAATTACTGTATTCATCAAATCACTATCAACGTCTAATTACTTTTTCTCTCATTGCGGAGGTTAGCGAATCTCTTTTCTTGAATATATTGGATTCTCTCAAGAGTACACTGTTCACGCAACCAAACAATTCCCTCCTCAAATCATAAGTTTATTTATTTATTTATTTATTTGCTTATAAACTAATAATTTGGACGGTTTGTGTTTTGATTGGTAATTTTAAATTCATTTCCTTTTTGCAATGTAAGAATATTTGGACAAGCGTTGAAACTTATTTTGAAATTTGTCGTATACCTTCATTTGTCAAACTAATACTTAAAACAATTCATAAAAAATAAGATTCCATATCATGAAAGAATTATAACGAAAATAATGTGTTGATTTTTTATTTTTACTTTTTTAATTTCAATTGAAAAGAGTATTTTATGATTTGTAGGGTTTTATGATTTGAGTTGAAGATGATATTTTATCATCATTAGAGTTCTAGTTAAATACAAACTCTAAAAGAATATAAAAAAGGTTCAAAAGAATTTATTTTAATAAAAAATAATTGATGAATTTAGAATGATATATTTTTATTTAATTTTTTATATGTCCATTTATGTAAATTTACGTAAGATTAAAAATATAATATAATTATATTTTTAAAAAGTGGATATATATAATTGGGGATATAAATAGCCGTACCCAAAATAAAATAAAATAAAAAGGCTTCCGTGCTAGATATTAATCCATGTTTGGACAAGTTTAAAATAATTGACGAAATCATTATGAGCAAATTATACTCGTTGAAATATTTAAAATTCATAATAAAGAATTCTTTCATAATCATAAATTATTATTTTTAATTGGTCTTCAACAACCTAAACAATTTCTTAACATTATATCGTTAAACTTTAATATCTTGAAATATATTTTAAAAAATTATTATTAATGATATGAACTTATTTATTAATAAAAAATGAATTAAGCGATAAGAACTTCTTTATTAATATTAAATTAATTGAGCGACAAGAACTTCTTTATTAATATTAAATTTATTGAGCTTGTCGAGACATGAAAATTTCTAGATTTCAAAGAGCGTAAAAATCTTGAACGGAAATGGAAAAGAAATGTAACTCCAATTCATTTTGGATCGCAATCCTTTAAGTGGACTTATGCTTGAGTCGACCATGTTTATAGTCATGAACTCGGCTCGATTCATGTCAAACTTAAGGGTGGCTCGGCCCATACACACACTAGCTGAGCTCGTGGCTCATTACAAACGAGCCGAGCTTCTGCTCGGCTCGTTACTCGAGGGTCAAGCTTGGCTCGGCCTGTGAGCTCGTGGCTCGTGAGCCGAATCGAGCTCCGACTCGCGAGCTCATCAATTTTTTATCTTTTAAGATAAATTTTTTTTAAAAAAATAAAAAATAGATAAACATTTGATTTTGAACGAGTCCACGAGCCGCTTGCCCGTGCCTACTTGCTCGTGCTGGGGTGGCTCGATTGCCACCCCTAGTCAAACTTAGGTCAATATTGTCAGTTGGTAGTGGGCCTTGACGTAAGCACAAAAGCCACTGCACGTGATCTCAAAAGCCACCTGACGTGCAAGCCAAAAAGAGCATATTCCTCGCCCACGACCACGACCATCACATGCAATAGCCAAAAACAGAAAGGGAAATTGCATTTCTACAGAAAATCAAGAAATTAAACAAAATAAGAATTAAAAAATTACAAAAAAGAAAAAAAGGAACCTTTTGCTGTCCAATGGCATTAGATCTGACTATTTTACAGCGAAGCTTTTTCCTTTTTCCCAAATTTTTTATGATTATTTACACTATTCAACGACGTATTGGTCCACTCGTTCACTCTCTCTTCCAATTTGAAACACAATCGCTTCGTGTAATTTTCGACCTTTAAATCCGTTGAAAAATAAGAAAAGAAGTTTATTTTACTGTTTGATTTAAATCAACTTGATTTTGAAGAAATCAGCGATTTTTAATTGATTGAACATGAGAGAAAGGAAATCGGTGAAATTTAATCTTCAACAGCAGCAGCAGCAGGAGGATCAGAACGGCCATTTATCCCCGTTTAAGTTGACGAAATTATTCGATCCAGATGCTTCCTGGGACAAGGTTTTAGCTTATTTTATTATTTGTGCGATTTTGAATCGTTTTTTAGTACAATTCATTAAGAAACATAATTCGTGGAAATTTCTGTTATTCGACATGATTATCATAATTAAACAAAGAATTTAAAGATGATTGTGTTTTTAGGTAACCGTGTTAATGTGTGCAATAAAGTGGATTATATTAAAATTTATGAATTTTAGCAGGAGTTGACTATTGTATTCAGCGGTTAAAGTTTTTGAATTATTATTATTGCAAATGATATTAACATTTTATATATGTGTTGTGAAGGTTAATAAAATGAAGTTGGTGTTTGATGGGGGATAAAAATTAGATTTTCAATAGATTTTGATACAAGTTTTTGAAATGTGTGGTTAAAAAGTCGTGGGACCATTAAAGACGTGTTTAATATTGATGATTTGACTTTGATTTCGATTAAAATCTGATTTTAATTCGAAACAAACATGGCCTCAATGGCAGTGAGAATCTGCTATCAAGTTAAGATGTTCAAGATTGTTAAAAGTTATTTCCATAATCATTAAATACATCACTGATGCTTGTTAATAAAAAAAAGGGAGTTACAAAAGAGATAAGATTAATGTGGTCATCGGGAGTTTAGAATATTGTGATTAAAGAAATCAAGGATGATATTGTGTACTGTAAGGTCATTATTTCTCTGTATTATCTCAGGTAAACTGAGCTGAAGTTTGTGGAATTTTGAGCATTTGGATAGAGCCCAAAAAGAACCAATGAAAATGATTTAACTCATCCTAATCAGACACGACTTTGTGCACTTGTAGTTTTCATCCTCAATTTTATTGGACATGCTAGTGTAGATTACCATATTTTGATCTTAAACACTTTGAGATATGGGCAAGGAAAGCCAAGAATTCTCTTAGAATTTCAGCCTAGTTCGTGGTTTCGTTATTATAAATCCTTCAGAAATATCTAACAAATTTTAAATTAAAATTTGTTATAAACAAAGAATTTTGCTTCTATTTTTCTCTTCTAAGCATCTAAATCTTGCTTACAGCTCTCCATATGTTTCTTCTCGCATTGCTTTAATGGTTATGTACTTATGTTGAAGTTGAAAGGAGTGCGATGCCAAAAGTAATGCGACTAGAGGTTTTCTCGAGATAATCAACAATTCCTTGCAATATATACTGCAAAACACATGCGTTGTTAACTCTCACTATTTCCGAGGAAATACAATATAGGAGCTCTCTATCTCTGGTTTTGTTGGAGCACATGATTATTGAAGGAGATTAGAGTTAAGAGTCAGCAAGATAATACAAGTTGCTTAGCTAGTGATATATGGCCCTTCTCCATTAAACTTTATGTAAGATAGCTTAGTCAATTGCAGTTGTATGCTGTTTAGCAGTGATATTGGTGTATTTCGAACTACTATTGACATAACGACATGATCTCTTTTTCAAAAGTAAACTCTATACTTCAGTTTCTTTAAGACTAATTGTGATTTGGGAGAAGTTCCAATCAGGATAGTTTGCTGCCACATAACTACTTATCATGAAATGGAAAATGGACATCCACAGTCTAAATATGTACTAGATAGTTAATTTTGTGCTCCTAGAGTTTTACCTTTTTCGTCATAGTTTTACTTTCTTGGTTTTTCATAAATTTTTTTGGTGGGTTGGAGTCATAGATATCAAGGGATGGGTTGGATGTATGTATGCTTCAGGTGTTTGCCGTAAAATTTGTGTATACTGATTGTATGCATTCCTTGTCACAGGATCAACTGGGGGATGTATTACATTGGATTAGACAAGCATTGGCCCTTGTATGTGGACTGCTATGGGGTGCCATTCCATTAGTTGGGGGCATTTGGTTTCTCCTGTGAGTTACTGCTTGTAGTTTTTTGTTTATATACCCATATTTTGTCATAAAGTCATAAATTTCGAAGAGAAGTGATGAACATTTGATTTTACTAAAGTTTTACGTTTTTTTTTGCTGGACATTGCGTTCAAATTCCTACATAATGATACTCTTTTCCTTTCATTATCTGCTTTTATTCGCTAAAATTAATTGGTCTCCTCCTATTTGTTAGAGTAATGCTATTTGGCCCACTGGTATTTAATACTAGTCTAGGTGACAACACCTGCGTCATTAAATTATAAGTTTAATTAAATACAAGGATTTATGACTTATTTATTAGGACTTATGACATGCTGACATGTAGACTGGTGTACAACACCATTGGTATTAGATAACATTATTCTATTTGTTGTCACTTAAATTAATGCATTTGCTGAGACTGTTCCACATATGCATTTGTTTGGATAAACTCTATTTTTGGTGTTCCTGGATATGCTTAGTTGAAGTAAATAAAAACGAGGACATCTTGCTCATGCTGTTTTAAGTTTTTTGTTTTGACTTTTATTCGGGTTAGAAAATAATGACTCAAATATTACAAACGGATTCGATATGAAGGAACAGATTTTCATTTAGATAAAATAAAAACTTGTGTTGCATTCTCAACAAGGCAATAGGCTCCCTTTATTATCAGTTTTTATATGGAATGCACCTATGACTTGTTTGGCAAGATGGAATTGTACAACATTATAACTAATAAAGAAAAAGAAGCTCAAATCTTGTTAATTGTATCGTCCTCTTCCTCCCATACTTTTACCAAACATGCCTAATGTATTACCCTTGTTGGAGCCCCATTCTTTCGGGTTAAGATTTTGGAATAGTGACTTTCTGTGGAATAATGACTTTTTTGGAGAACATGTGATTAAAAAATTGGGAAAAGTTTTGTGTTTACGTGTAAAATTATTTTATTGAGAGAATGTATGATTGATAATGAGTTTCAGGAAAAATGAGTTTTTGGGGAAATGGGGCTCAAAGTAAGCATACCACATTTTTTGCTTTGGTACAAGAAAGATCCTTCAATTAACTCTTGATTTGCTGGTTTTGATATTCCAGGTTTGTGGTTTTATCCACTGGGATTATATACGGTTATTATGCGCTTATACTAAAAGTCGACGAAGAAGATTTTGGTGGACATGGAGCTCTACTTCAGGAGGGGCTCTTTGCTTCAGTATCACTCTTTCTGGTATTTAAGCAGTTTCCCAGAACTTTATTGCATTTTAAACACAAGATCGATGTGCATAATGTGTTCATGAATTAACTTAACATTTTGCTTCCGTTGATCAGCTTGCGTGGATCCTAGTATATAGTTTGGCACATTTCTGATCGGCACATTTCTCATCAGCAACATCACGACTTGGATCTTCTAGCCTTTGCCTCCCTTCTGGGAAATGATAATTGATTTGTTTAGATTTAGACGTTATGAGGCTAAATCTGTGCCCTGCAAACGTTGTGGAAGTTCAAAATCGAATTTTGTTATATTTGTTGCACTTTTTTTTAGTGGGCAAAAATAGTCTACAGTCCTTATTTTTTATCCTTGGACCTTTCATTTCTTCTTTGTTGGAAGTGAAATGTTGAAAAAGTTATATTTTCCTATCCTATGCATTATTGTGATGAAGCAGCCTGTGTGATGCCAATGGTTCATAGTTAATGTCTCTGATCAACAATCATTGGCAGTTGCACGTGAATTACAAAACAATTGATACAGAAGATGCATTGAACTCCATTCCATTGCAAACCTATTGGTCTCCATATTTTCTGACCAAAGGAGCATTTTTCACTACTAGAATTGCAAAATATTGTCCTATGTTAAAAATATAAGAGATGCATCAATCGCACCAAATTGCACTAGAATTGCTATAGCTTGCCAAACCAAAAGCTGGAGAAAAAATAAAATAAAATAAAAAATCTCCTATACAGAAGGCTCTGGAACAAAATTAAGCAGCGCAAGATCCATCTTATGCCCATCTTTGACGTCGACCCCTCTGTTTAATTAAGTAGATGCGGCCATATACCCATCGATTACCTGGTCTCGAGATGGATTTCTGTAATGACATCAAAGAGACAAATCAATATTAATACCATAAGCAGCAGCAGCAATCCTGGCGCATCATTTACTAATGGCCCATTTGGAATTGTTTTTGATAAGCCAAAAAGGAGCTTTTGAGAACCCAAAGCTACGTTTGAACTCGCTTCCCTAATTTTATGGAAATGCTTCTTTTAAGGAAAAGTTCATTTCTCTCCTACTTTATCTTTACCCTATTTCCAAAATAAGAAAACAACTTTCACATTTCAAAA